AAGGCGCATGTGATATTCTCGCAGCTATCCCATAAGCCATCGGCCACATCCATTCTTGTCCCAACTCGCGAAGCGTTTCTTGGACCTCTTTGCTAGAACCTAAGCATTTTAAGCACTCCGAGTTTGCCTTTGCCTGGGCAAATGTGCTGAAGTGTCGCAACCTGTGTAAGCACTCCATCCCTATAAGTCCCATGACAATACATCTGCACCGCACTGAAGCTGCAATTTGTAAAATGTCTATGATTCGTTTCCGTTCTTTGGTTGGGCACCATTCCTTGGAAAGCAACGTTGATTTAAATTTGAGTGATGAAATGACAACACCCATGATGAAACGTCGGTGTCCATCGGAGCTGATACAAACTGCTGGATATCCAGTCTGTGGCAGCAATGAGCAAAGCGTGAAGTAAGAGTCGAACCATCTGCTTCCATCGTGTGTACTTTGAAAGCTGCAAGCACCTCGCTGGTGTCCTTCCCGTGTGATTTTTGTGTCTCTCAGTTGTTAGGCAGAATAAGAGCCCGTTTCCATTCGATGCTTGGTGTAAATCTGGTTTCCTCCATTCGCTCCACAGAAATGAAAATGAGGCTAGACTTTTATTCCCAACATGGGGCAAGCTTCTGTCTCCGTTGCCTTACAATTTTGCGATGCTGTAAATGTTCTGAAGCTTCAGGCCAAAGTTCCTCTCCTCTAGGCGAGCCTTGTCAGCAGGTTCATTGATGGATGATAATCTATGTAGGTGTCGAAGACGAGCGATCCTGTCATTAAAGTGGTCGTGGCCATCATTCAGTGCCATGGACAAAACAAACTGGACAATTCTCCAATAATTTGACTGATCCCCTTTTCACCTTCTGGATTATGCTCATTCGCATTCTATTATGGTTGCAGAATGATCAGGAAGTTTGTGCAGCATGGGGCTACATTCGTTTATAGGTAACTAAGCAAGACGAAGCAAGCTTGTTGGTTTTACGTGAGACCTCTGGGTTGCCAGTGCCCATGGTAAACGAACCAAGAGGACTGGGATAGTACAATATAATCAGGCCATTTTGCATATTTCGTCCTGTGGCCATGCACAAAATGAATGCGACCAAACAATAGCTTGTCACCAATTGAAGAATCAACGGTCTGCCATTCATCTGGACTTTTTTCTTGCTTGGCATAAATTGGCTTTGTATATGTTCTTAGTTTGTTCATTTTCATGGGATCATGAAAGCGTTTGGTTTGGTGGTCTGTCTCGGAGTCTCTCAGCTATTGAAGTCTGGTAAGCATTGAACTCGTCAAATGTCTTCTGGCGTTGCCTATCAATCCGAGCAGATAGTCTTTGGGGGCTTTTTTTGGCTGTCGAGATACAGATAAGTTTGTGGGCTTCTTCAAAATGGATACCGCAGTTCTTCACCAGATGTAACGATTGTCAGAAAAGCAGCATCCTCATCTATTTCTCACACGCGCGTCTTGTGCAGGTCAGGACATATGTGGAAAGCATTTGATGACCGTCCTTCATCAGTAACCACCTTCCCTCATCTGACCAGAAAGGCACTTCCAGTGTGCTGCAGTAATGTAATAGCGGCTTGACTGCTCCTGATTTCAGGCTAAACATTTTTGTGCGCTCCTGGCAGTCTAGTGTGTCCTTGTCACAGTGACTTCAGTCCGTTTGGTTAAACGGGGAATGGCGTCTAAAATGTATTGTGACAGGATAGTTGAACAGAGAACGAACACAATGCAAGAAAGCTTGGTACATCAGCTGGATGATTGGCTGGCCAAGATTGGTTCATCTCAGCAATAATACGCTGGTAGGTATCGGCATAGTTTAAATCTGTCGTATGCAAAAACACCAGAAGGATCATGTTGTGGATAGGCAAGAGATGCAAACCCAATTTCGCTTCTCGAGCCAGCACGCAGCAGGGCAACAAGGACGCTTTCAACGGGCACATTGTGTCCCACATAAAGACATCCAACAAGGCTAGTATATTTTTTCCGTTTTCATGCGAAGATAGTTAAAATTGTTCCCAGGTGGATGGACGAGAGCGCGTGTGAGTGGGGCGCAAGAAGCTCTGTCAAAATTATCTGTTGACTGTTTGTAATATTATAATATACACCCAAAATTACACTGAGAATAACTAAAGTAGACGAATAAAACCTGAGAGAATTTCAAAAAAATCATAAAGAGTTTTATTCCGAAATACAAGATGTTAGGGGGTAAGTGGTTTAACACTTTGCCAAAGATTGTGCCACCAAACAGACGGCACCATATTACAAAGTAATAATAATTCCAATGCAGTGGACCCCTTTGTGAAGTAAATGAGGTGATATGTTACTCTGGGAGTTTTTCTTGTCAAAATATTGACAGAACGTGGGCAATGTGAATTTGAAGTCAAAGCGGATTGTCGGCCACTTTTTCACAGTAAAATGTAACAATATTTTTGGTTCATTATATCAAAGTTTTGACAAATAACCCACAAATGTTCTCATATTTATATTACTAATATTAGTTGACATCCAGTATGCACATTAATTGGGGCCAGCTCGTGTGGTCCCTTGAAAAAAATATTTATTTCTGCAATTTTACGCAAAATAACACATGATTTTGGCGAAGCAAAGAGGGTATATAACTATTTCGGATGATAACACAGAGATGGCCGAGAGTTATAACTGCTATCAGCATTTTTTTCATATCTAGGGACATATATCTTGCTTAAAAATCACAATGAAGCCTTACTCCATCTGTTTTATGGTACCGACCCAACGCCCCTAGGATCATAGCCTAACATAAATGGGAAGCGAGGGATTTTGCGCTCGTGTTTTTGCGTATGTTGGTCCCGTGGGATGGCGCCACGATCGATTAACCTTGCTTGTTTGTAAACAGTAAATGATGGCGTAATGTTCGTTTAATGTGAAAAGTGAATATCATTATCATGTATAGTTTCTGGCTAATATTTTTCAACGTTTCAAATTGCAGCGGAAGAAAGCAACAGCTCGTAAGTTTACAAACTTGGAACAATTATCCTTTTAAGCTGCAATTACTAGTAGTACTAGTAGTACTAAGTAAGTAGCTAGTAGTACTAGCGTGTGTGTGATGACAGTCCATGTGGAAACACTGTGACTGTCACTGTGTAAACCGACCAGGCTCTTCCGAGCTGTTAACACGGCCAACGTAGTGTTAAGCGAGACAGGGAAGCTTGTGCTATGTCCACTGTCAGTGAGTGTCACTGGTGAACTCTCAACTCTGCACTTCAGCGTCCATGCCACCAGTCACAGGCACCTGAAGCGTTTCAATAAAATATAATGCTAAATAAAATACGAAATCATTTACTACCAAATCTTAATGTTTCTATACTCTCTTTCACCTATTATTGCCGACAATTTCCTGTAAATGCCGTCAAAGTCTCCATCTGTAAACACACGCTACCGCCATGGCATTGCTGCGGCTGGCACACTGACACAATAAGCCGGTTCACGGACGGAGCCGGAGAAACTCGGGTCGAAAACGAAACCCGTGTCGAAATGCGTCCCGGACGAGCGTTTCACAACGGAACGTTTTCTCGGTACGAAAACGACTCGGTCGAAAAACGATCGAGTCCTGCGTTCATTTTTGCGGTAGTGAAGCTCGCTGAGCTCGGGGGTGAGAGTTAGTACGTGCAGCGAGGACACGAGAAAGTAGGAACAGAATAAGTGAGAGTGCGGAGTGGTGCGAGGAAGAGTTTGATTGTTTACATTCGGGCATTGTTCGCAGTTGCGGACCGCATGTAGGGTTTTTTCTCACTCACAGCGTTGCATTAGCGTCGTGTGAACGCTCTGCTTCGAACGATCGCTGGGCCGTGTCGTTTCGCGACAAGCGGGTCGTTTTCGACCCGAGTTCTTCGCTCGCGTGTGACACGGCGGCTATTAATAATATGCGCAGTGGCTAGCGCGTCGCGGAACAGCAGGTGCTAAGCCTCCTGGCTACAGCGTCCCGGACATCCACTCACACAGTGATCGCGCGACTAAAGGGTCGCGTACACGGCATGATTGCGAGGCACGGTACGCTCTGCTGGCCGTCTATCTTCTCACATGGCCGTTCTACATCTCGAGCTCATCAGTCGCTCTCTCAACACACACACTCATTTACAGCTCTCTCTCTCGGCTCTATCTGCCTCATCTCTCTCTCTCTCTCTCTCTCTCTGCTCTGCACACACAACCACACAGGGCCAACACACACCCAGCAGCACACAGCCGACACACGTCAATCAGCAGAGGCGTCCCAATTGCGCAATTATGCGTGTACTGTCGCAAGTCGACTGTGTGAGATTGGATGTCGCGGACGCGAGATAGGACTAGCGGCTCCGGCGTCCGGGAGGAGGCCGGATCGCGTAGGCCACGGCGCTAAAATATGGTGTTTATACATATTTATGTGTCAGTGTGGCGGCAGCGCAGGCGAGATGCAATTGGCGGTGGCGTGTGTTTACAGATGAGCATTTGGACGGCATTTACAGGAAATTGTCGGCAATAATAGGTGAAAGAGAGTATAGAAACATTAAGAATTTGGTAGTGAATAGATTTCGTATTTATTTAGCATTATATTTTATTGAAACGCTTCAAGTGCCTGTGCCACCAGTGACTGCAGAAGACCACACTACTACTGCTAGAAGTAGTAGTAGTAGTACACTGTCATTAGTAGTAGTGCTGTCACGATTAAAATATAATATATGCCTGAGGGGATGTATACGCGTAAGGCTATACGTACTACTAACGTGAACAAGACTATGGTCAAAACTATGACTAGATACAATAATGTAACCCAACAAGAGTAGGGTACACTATGACTCATACTCATAGTCATGGCAATATTAGTATATAATATTAATAATAATATACTATATATGGCGTAGGTCAAACTTTTGTCTGCATTTTTTTTGAAAAAAATTGGTTAGAGCAATGCATAGTAAGGCAGATTTATTGAATTTTTGTTTTTATTTATAGTCTTATAGTCATTTGACAAATGACATGTTGGAATCCTTAACTAGTATACGTATATATGTTTTCCCCCTGAGATTAATTCAACTACACAGCAGCCTGTGGGGTGTAGCAGACAGACTGATGGGTCGTACAAAGCTTATGGTGTGTTTGCTTGTCATCATGCATATATATATGCAGGGTGCGAAATTAACAGGAGTCCGGAGTCAAATACGCCCTGATTTACTGTGCGACTCCCTGAACATTCTGCCATACTAACTAGTTCGTTCCGGAGCGTGGCCTCGCAGAATTACTGTATTTGTTCAGCTAATGTCCAAAGAAAATTTGGCAGACGTGCAACTGCATGAATCTTAAAAATAAGCGCATGCGTTATTGTTAATATCTTTAATTTTGAACCTCAGACTGCGGACTCCCTCATTTTGTTGCGGATTCCCTCTTTTTGAGGGTAGGAAGTCCGTTGGACTCCCTTGTTCAAAAGTTAATTTCTACCTCTGTATATGTGTGAAAGTTTGCAGGAATATGATTTTAAAATGACAATAATCTATATCCATATGCTGCATGAGTAAAAGTATAAATATACACAACTAAAACACTCAGCAACATTGGCCCTTTATATACATATTTTATATACATATATTTATCAGCCTGAAATAATTATAGATTATATGTGTTTTCTAGCACCATGTGTGCCAGCACCAAGGGTTAGTTGCACAGGACTGTCACAAAATGGCACATTTAAAAGACCAGTTGACTGTAAACCAACGTGAGTATGAACATTCTATGCTACTACTGACACCATCCACATTCACAAAATGCAATAAATAAACAAGTTGGAATTTTACTCTGCTAGCTGTAGCTCTGCTACACAGTTACATTTTATAAATATAAAGGAGAGTGCATGAAGTGGTGTTAAGCCCAATTGAATGAAAAATTACTAAACTATTGTGAAATTGATTAAAACCAAATTGGTTCTGATTAAACCAAAGGCAATACTTGTCCTAAGGTTATTAGAATTTGACCATTTTTGTGTTTTTCAGAAATGGGAAGTCATTTGAAACAGCTCTTCTACTTTCCGTGTTCTTGGGCATGTTTGGGATAGACCGCTTCTATCTGGGATATCCTGCCTTAGGTAAGTTATTTCTTTGTTCCTTTTCTAATTACATAAATCAGTTTAATAGATTTATAACACATGTATGTATGAGTCAAGGTGCCAGGACATCATAGACATTAAATGAAATCTGTAAATGTTTTAAACCAGTGGTTCTTAACCTTTTTTTGAGCCATGGACCCCTTTGAGAATCTGGTGAAAGCTACGGACCCCTTCCCAGAAAAATGCACATAAGCACATAAACACAATAATTTTTATGTGCCTCGTTCACAGACCCCTCTGAAGCCCATCCACAGACTCCCTGAAGCCCATCCACAGACACCCTGAATCCTATCCACAGACTCCAAATGGATCCATGGACCACATGTTAAGAACACCTGTTTTAAATGAAGTTTGATTGTTCTTCAGGTCTGCTGAAATTCTGTACACTAGGCTTCATGTTTGTTGGACAGCTCGTCGACATCGTCCTCATTGCAACACAGGTATCGTATACAGGTTTACCATTTTAACGATTTTATATAGTTCCCTATGACCATGCTGCTCGAAATCTGTGATTTAATCTTGAACTTTAACCTGGGAACCATTGTCAGAAAAAAAATTAGTCTTGACATTAGTCTTAATGTTAACTTTGACTCATAGACCGTTGACAGAAACATCGTAAAATTACGAGAACAAAAATCCCAGCAAGTTTCCCGACAATTACGAGATCCCAGACCATATGGTAACTTTAAGATTAAGATGAAAACACCGCATTTACACAAATAATTGCAGTTGTAGTGATATTAATTTCATATTAATTAGTAAAACGTGTGTTCTTCGTGGAAAACAGGTCAGAAACATTACTTCTCTACCAATTGTGTACCAAAATAAACATTTACAAGTGGCGTTTGTTCTCTAATATTTTTTTTTCTCTTGTAACATTAACGTTAGTCATAAGTGCTATCTTAGCATTAACATTAGCATTAACTTTACGATGTTAATTTCTGACAATGGCCCCCTGATCTTTTTATAGATAGTCGGACCTGCAGATGGATCTTCTTACATCATTGATTACTATGGTGCTGGCGTTATGCACCTAGTAGTGGACAATGTTACCTACTACCATCCCACGGGCTGAACTCGTTTAAGTTTCTTGTCATACTGCTTATGTTATACTGCTTATGTCATACTGTTTATCACTCGCACATGTAAAATTGTGAAATGTCTTGTAATTGTCTTGATTTATTAAATATTGTTTATGGATTTATTACCGCATTTCCAGTGACTCATTTCACCACTAATATCCTTTTTACGAAGCAGGTAGTCGTGGTAAAGTTATGAAATAGTTCATCATTTTTAGGCAGATTAACAAATTTTGGTGTTTATTGTTGGATATTGGTTCTCTTTATTGGGTCTCTCTCGAGACATATATCGTAGCTGGTCAGGCTAACCTCTGTAATAAACTATATTAAGCACTAACCTCTATAGTTTTACCTGGAGAGAGAGAAGGGGCGAGAGAGAGAGAGAGAAAGAAAGAGAGAGAGAGAGAGAGAGAGAGAGAGAGAGAGAGAGAGAGAGAGGTGGGGAGGGAGGAAGAATAAACAATGTGTGGGAGAATGGGGATAAAATATATTAGACTGTATTACCTGTAGTGTAGTAATCATGTTAGTTACCCATGCAAGTAGAAACTGCATAACCCTAGCAAGTAGACTGTATCACCTCTGCAAGGTTCCTGCATTGCAATACACCTCGCAGCATTTTGTTTCTACAGCCTGCAATATCCATTTTTGCTGGATATCTCAATAGTGCATACTCGTTATGATATGCCAAACGTCCAAGGAAACTATACTGTTACACTGGCTGTGGTAAAGAGATTACGATAGCATCTACATTCGACACTTCTATAAACACAGAAGTACTGTAATGTACATGCTGATTTACATGCTAATTTGATGCTAATGTACATGAAATTCGGTCCATTATTTTTGTACAAATATTGATCTAGGTACGCTATGATATTCGTCAAAAAGCCAGCAGTTTGCATCGTTAGTCTGTAGGTCACGAATTTGCATGGTATGATGCATTGATTGCTGCCAGCATAAACGAGTTCTGTCTACACGAGTGCTGGTTAGTTACATAGAGAATGATTATTTGCAGGTCGTGCAAATACGCATATATATATATATACTATAGTGTGTTGTGTGTGTCGTGTATGCGGGTGGTTGTTGGCATTGAAAGCAGCAACACAATTAATGTGATAGATGCTGCGTGAGAGCTACATTCACGAGCCTTACAAATGATTATACCAACCTCCCCCCCACCCCACTACTTCGCATGTTTTCATATGGTGTCCGACGTTTTCACCTGTCTACTATAATCATTCGAGCAAAACTCGAAAATTAACACGCTTTTATACGTTCAAATGACGGTTTCTGCAGATCGAAACACATTGCTACGCATGAAATGGGAAGAGAACAGATGGTGATATCTCACTGAGTGTCGACAGTGGCGTTGAAAGGGTCGTTGTCGTATCAGGTACTACATATATGTACCCGAGGTAGTTTTAGGTTGTTTAGTATTATGTTTATATTTTTAACTATGAGGTATCGTTTAACGGCTTAGCTTAGGGTTTGGGTACTAGCGCCGGGTATAGGGTTAGGGTTAGGGTTAGTATTCTGTATACAAGTCTGTACACTTTGTAGTATACAATATGCACCTCGGGTACATATATGTAGTACCTGATACGACAACGACCCCTTCAGCAACAGTGGCAACCTCTTGAGATCTGGCCAGGATTAGAAGTCATGTAGAGAGGATTAGCTTCACATGAAGTCGAATTCGTCGAACACACTTGTTTTCGGATTAGGACAGCGTTGACTCTTGCGTGCTAACTATGCTCCCATATTTCTCAAATATGAGAAACGTGTATCCCTCTGAAATTAACACGAACAAGAAATCCCTAATGGTAGTTAGTGTTAGTGATATCGTAACAAGTTAGCCCTATCTAATGACACAAAGAAACGTACGCCGCCAAAATCCCACTTCACGCATATCAGTAGAAAAACACGCTTCGTTGTCCGTATCACGATGAAAAGAAGACAGGGGAACAATCTACATCTGCTGACCTAGTCGGTTAGACATCACAAGTCATCTATCGAGTCATTCCATTAACCTACATTGCCGACTTCATTGTCTAACCATCACATGTACGTGTCATTCATCGCGCTAATGTGCCGCCGTCAACCCTCCGCAAACACGAACACGCTGTGAAAACAATGGCCGCGCGCCCGGCAGACGCGCCACATGTCACGCTACACACAGCGCGAAAGATGCGCCTCCGCCCAAGCACGAAGCGTCGTCGGCAATCAAAACCGCGGTCGGCGATGCGGAGCGTGCCATCGGCCCGCGGCGACGGCTCGTCGACTTCTCCGCCGACACCGTCGATGCACGCCGTCGAACGTGTCGGCGGCGGCGAGCCGGCTACACGCGCGGATAGTCCTGGCTGGCTGCTAATCATCGGCTGCGCGGGCATACTCGCCCTGTCAGCTCTTCTACACCGTCCGAAGCGTTCGTCGCGAACCCGGCACGGGTGTCGCCGTTGCCGACGACGATCGACATCGACACTGGAGTCGCGGCCGGACCTTCCCGCGGTGGACGCGCCTGCAAGCCCCGGGCCAAACCCGAGCGGTGCTCGGTCGCGGAACCGCGCGCGGGCTACTTCGGATCCTGAGGTGCGGCGCCGAATAAACGGCCGCCACCTGGCGGGTGGCCGTGATCCCCCAGAATCGCACGGAGGGCCGGCCAGCGCGGAATGCTACAGGACGAGCGAACGAGAAGCGCAAAGCGAAACATTGTCAGCGAACTGGAGATGAGACTGGCTACTTTAAGCTAGGTGATCGGCGCGATACGCTGACGGAAGCGAGGAGGGTGGGGCCATCAAGCTGAAAGACACAATGCTTCTGCTCTGCTCGTAGGTGAAACGCAGACCTGAGTGGATGCAAGGTAAGTCTTAAGGATTCACACTGGTACAACACCGTAACTGATTGAGACAGAAAAGAAAAAAGTGAGCCCAAAGGAGCGGTCACTAAGTCACAACCGTCGTTGCTAAATATGGTGACATGTTAAATTACGGGCGAGCCGTTTAAAAAGGGAGACCTTGTGGTTAAATAGGGGCGACGTTGTGGTTAAATGAAGGGGCGACGTTGTGGTTTAAAATAGAGGCGACGTTGTGGTAATAATAGGGCGACGTTGTGGTTTAAATAGGTGCGAACGTTGTGTTAAAAAATAGGGGCCGACGTTTGTGGTTAAATAGGGCGACGTTGTGTGGTTAAATATGGGGCGACGTTTGTGGTTAAATATGGGCGACGTGTGGTTAAATATGGCGACGTTCTGTGGTTAAATTATGTGCGACGTTGTGGTTAAATAGGGGCGACGTTGTGGTTAAATATGGCGAAACGTGTGGCTTAAATAGGTGCGACGGTTTGCTGGTTAAATAGGTGGCGACGTTGTGTTAAACGGCATTTATTTCAAACATAATCTTCCGAACCAAGTATCGTGCCGCCCCTGCTCAGCACACACAGCTGTTTTACGCATCTATACCGTTACTTGAGTGACAGGCGAAGACATGTAAAAATGCATGACATCAGTGCTTTGCGGTCACGGATTGAAGTGGCAAGAGCAAACTGCTTATATGTTCGCACGTGCTAGCATTTGAAAAGAACGTCGGTGATATTTGACTCGTACAATTTTCCTTTTATTTCCAGTGACTTTACGTACATTTACAACTGGATGTATGGCAACTGTTACACCTTCAACAGTGGTTGGCATCAACAGGAACTGAAAGAGAGTTTCCAACCCGGGTCTCTATATGGTGATTAGTATACAACTATCATAATACGGCACAGGGGAGTTACATCACCATAGTTCGTAACATAATAATCTATAATAGCGCACAGCAAATTATACATTTCCACTGCATCGCAAATCATGCATTGTAGTTATTTACTGGATATAAAATAGAGTTAGCGCAGACATGCGTCAAATATTCCGCAAATATTTTTTTTGATGATAAAGCTCTCTAACCTGCCTAAAAGCATCTCATAAATATTAACACAACTTGAAACCGCCTAACTCCCTTACTGGAGGGGGATCATGCGTTATAGTGCAAGGCTTCAAACCGTATACCATCGGTATACGGTTTCGTATCGGTATCGGTATATCGGTATCGTGAAAAACTACTTTTTTACCGTCAGACGTGATTTTCTATCTAGCGGGATGCGTGATACTCAACTAGAAATTAAATTGACTACGTCACGAATTTTCTATGGTAAAATTTGTAAAATGTTTGTTGCCATTTTTTTACATTAAAAGTAAGAACTAACGGGACTAAACGTATCGTCATATTCCTACCTGATAAGACTGTTTCTCAACTAGTTAAAAATCCAAAAACCTGGACGATTTGATATTAGTGTTCCTGACATTAATTGCTTGCTATGGGCTATGTATGAGTCACGAGTGTATGTTCACATCGAACAATATAGTAAAATAAGAAGTATAATGCAGCAATTTAACCATAAAAAGTGAACAAAATTACTTATTATTTTGTGAAAAAGTGGAAATATTTTTTCCATTTTTTACTATTTACGGTGACGTAATCACTTTAACGTGAGTAAACGTGAAAACGCCCAAGTCTATCATGCATCTCGTTTTTGCCTCGATTTTTGCAAGGATTCGTAACTCTCTTAGTTTTCGGTTGTTTAATCAACAAATTTTAATGAGAAATCGAAAAAACAGTTTCAAATATATTCCGTGAACTGAGATTTGGGTCACGCCTTCAGGACCTCCGTATAATATGTGAAATGATATCTGCAATAGCTAACATAACCTAGTCGTTATTCCGAAATGTCACGCGCTGCAAATGTCACGCGCTGCAAATGTCACGCGCTGCAAATGTCACGCGCTGCAAATGCCGAAATGGGCAACGGGGAACATATATAATGGACTACACACATATATACATCAGAAGTAGATTTATAATCACAATGACACATACTCAATACACATAATTTGTGATTATTTACTGATATATATATGTATATATGTGTATATATATATATATATATATATATATATCTAGGAACGGTATAGCTACTGCAAATATGGATACTGTAATGACGTATCTGTGTTTCTGCATGTAAGGTCTCACTATGGAGCTATTCGTCGAGGGAAATGAGTATTTGTCTACGATCTCAGACAAAGGTGGCTTCC